TTCCCTTCCCTTCCCTTCCCTTCTCTTCCCTTCCCTTCCCTTCCCTTCCCTCTTCCCATTTCTTCTAGTTAACAAGTCCCTTGTGATCCTATTCTGCTGAGCCACTCTCATGAGTAATGGAAGCAAGGATGCAGAACTTTTACATTATAAAATACATTTCCACCCATTTTGCTCTGACATTACTACTTCACTAAAGCAGTTCCTCAGGGCTTGATCCTGCACCATGAATTAATTAGAAAATGACCTTACCAGTGTCACGAATGGGAAATTAAATACCTTTCTAAAATACTCTGTAGAGTCAACATAGGCATAACAATTCACTGTAGAGTAATTGTGGAAGATTTTTATAATCTTTTTGCTTCAGAAGATAGCATTTTCCTTCTTATTAAAACACTGAGCATACACAGTAAGTCATCTTTGACATCTTTTGAAGACTGAAACAGGCTGAGTTTCCTACATACTTTCTAAATAAACCATGAATCACAGAATCAAGCGTAGAATAATTTAGGTAGGAAGGGACCTCTGGAGGTCATCTAGTCCAACACCTTGCTCAGAGCAGGTCCAATTACCTCAAGTAAAGCTATTTCAGAAGAATTAACAATTCTAATTTATTTTAGAATAATTTAAATTCTTTAAATAAGGAAGGAAACGTATCACTCGATCTCAAGAGTAGCCTAGAATTCCGCATTTTGTGATACCATTTACTTTTATACATAATGAAAATAGCATATCTATTTAAATGTGGGCTCCAGTCCTCTCACATGTGTTAGAAATAATACAAATTAGCTGACATAATAAGCATAAATAAAAAAATGTATGGGATTATACACATGCATGAAGTACAGAGCGGAGGTTTTAGATTTTGAAATATGATGGCAAAAGTTGGGGGGAGGCAAACTGTCTCTTGGTAGAAATTACACTCCATCAGTAATTTGACATTGATTTCATTATAGAGAGATTGTAAAACAGAAACATAAAATTCTACTGGAATTCATACCCTTCTGTTTAAAAAATTTTCTGAAATCTATTTTTGTTTAATTTTAAAGGATCAATGAAATAATAAACAAAAATACCTTGTCTTTTTATCAATTATACTTAATTTTTATCAATGTAACTTTAGTAATAAATGTATTATTAATTAAACACATTATTAAATTAGTGCTATGTTTTATTAACACAAGTCAAGTGGAACATGTGGTGCTTATAAGGAAGTTAGGTTGTGGGCCCGTATAAAAGGTAAACATTCATCAAAGTCAACACTAGTGACGTTATTTCCTCTGTGAGGAATTACAAAGGAAGATTAAGATACTGATGCTGATCTATATCTTAAGGTCCAGTTAAGGTCCATGGGTAGATTTTTATGTAGTCTTAATTCAAATAAACCCAAACTAAATCCAGTGGAACCTTGTTTGAATAAAAGCCTAGAGAGAAAAAAACCCAAGCAAATGAAGACTTTAGAGTTTGGTTCAGTAATTTTATTGCCAGTTGTGCATAGCTATACAGGTATAAACCCGATAATTAATAATATACATTGTGTTACCATATAGCTTTCCAGACTAAGTTTGTAACAAATATTTACATTCCTGAAGGAAAAAAAAAAAGCAAACCAAGGGAAACGTATTTTGAAAGTTCTTTAGGATACGAAGTACATATTTAGAGAAACATATTAGGGTTTTGTGTGTCTGTGCGTGAAAATAATAGATACTGAAATGAAATCTTTGGTACCTTTCTAGGAGAACAAACGATACAGCTCATTGTAGTTTTGGTCTCTGAGTTAAAGCGTAACCTCCTGAACCACGGGGAAGGCATACCAAGTGATTGTGTTACTTCCCACTGTTGGGCTCGTGGGCCAGGAGACTGTAACATGATTGTTCAGCTCCCTGGAATTGTATAGTTTGCTGTGTGGCTGTATAGAGCATTAATTCATGCACTGTATGGCCGCTTCAGTGCTACCGTTACTTGAGAGGCTGACCTTGCAAGGAGCTGGGAGCCATCGGCAAGGTGCTGAGCGTCTCCAGGTCCTGGCCGTTGCTGGACTGGCTCCTCCGCACTGACTATGCAAGGCATGTGCAGGGACGTGCTTTCGTAATATATTGGGCAGAGGCTTTCACAAATTAGAGGGACTTATTACATTGAGTCAATTATCTTCATGAACATCAATCTACTTTTATTTCCCTAAGCGAGAACATGGATATCAATCGACTTTTATTTCCCTGAACAGATTTTAGCATATTGGTACAGATTGCCTCTAGACACTATAACTGTACATTGACATTTTCTAATATCTTTTTCATTTGTAGGTGGGATTACATTATTTGCAGTGATTACTTTAATTCTGGACTCTTTTAAAATTGGATATTATATTGATTTTTCAAACTGTTTATCACCAACTGAAGGCATTTTTCCTGTTACACATGCCGTGCACACCATCTTACAGGTAAAAGTCACTGGTTGCAGTTTTATATTATATCTGTATTTCTTACCAAAAATATCTTTCATCTTCTCATCATCAGTGAATTTTACACTAATTTAACTTCTAAGTATATCATAGGATACTTTTGAGGGCTGAATTCTTGTGCATGCATATCCTTTCTATGTGTGAATTCAGGCTGAAATTGCTCAGCCGTAAAACTCACATGGGTTCAAAAAAGAAATAATCAAAAAATGCTCTCCTGTAGTTGGAGTTACATGCTTTTTTCAGTTCAAGTTACATACATAACTTTCAGAATTTTCAGGCTGAAATGAGCAGCTTGGCTAAATATAATTCACTTATTTCTCTATGTAGGACTTGCCACATAAGTTCAATTCAATCTGTCTATCCTGATGTCCCATTGTGGTTAGGGGTGGAAGCCTGATACTTCAAAGGGACAAAATCTTTCCCATGTATTTAGCTTGTTGTAAAATACTTGCACATCTTTCCCATACCAAATGAACATGGATTTTAGTTCCTAAAGCATTTGGTTATGCTTATCAGTGGCTGCACAGTAGCAAACATAGTCAGTGACTCCAGTAAAATATTCCAGCTGCTTGTTTATTTTAAAGCTTTGGGTCTGTATTACATGGTGATATTCCACAGCTGATTGTTTATCACATGAACTCCTCTGAGCCCCTGTCAACAGATTTGTAGAAAAGAAGGAAAGAAACCGCCACTCAACTGAGTTACTCAGTTATAACCAGGTCATTTAATGCACTTTCCAAGATGATTAAGTCATTCAGAAAGAAAAAAAAAGATTTTCCTAGCAGTTGTGGTTGCATGTAAATGAGCATTTGAACAACCTACATTTTTCTGCTTTCTGTAACAAAAAAGCATTGAAATTTAAGCAGTAACCCTGACCTCTTCTGTCTTTTTCTCTGAGGCTGAAATTCTGATTTGGTTGAAATAATCTTAATTTCACATTCTTGTAATATCCACTCTCCATGTCTTGCAACTTCTTTGCTTTACCTCTGAAAAACAAACCAAAGAAATTAAGCCTTTTTTCCCTGCTGATCTGCATGCAGCATTCTTCATTGCATCCAGTGACCCTGAGCTGACAAGGTTTCTAGCTACCGTGAACTAGAGGGTGAGAGAAATGGTGTATAACAATGCTGAACAAAGGGAACAAGAATTCTAATTTAAATTTTACATCACCCAATGTTGCTGAGTTTATCATCTGCTTAGGTTAAAACAATGAATTCTTGAATGTTAGCCTGAGCAATCAAAGAAAAAGTAAAAATGTAATTTACCAGATACCTCTTACCTAAGACAAATCTTCTCATGTCAATGAAATTGCAGCAGATAACATCTCTAATTATGTGTCATCTAAAAATGGAAGGATTTGTTTTCTACAGAATATGTGTCAGATTTTGTTGTATTTTACTCTAATGAGGCATCCTGATATGTGCCATTAAATTAATAAATATGTACATACTGCACCTGTGCAAGCAATGAGCTAATGTGTACCGGCCCTTCCAAGAGACAGCCTGTGCATTACGCTCTTTCACAGGCAGAAGTCCCTTTGAGGCAATGAGTGCTCTGTGAGCAAAAATGGGATTTTATGCGATTTCTTTACCTTACTGACTTTTCTGTTCCTATTTCTCCCCACTTTCTTGACTCTAATGTCTGAACAGATCTTCAAAACTTATGGTTTTTAAGTTTTGAAGAATGCTTTCACATCTTCTGTTAGATTTTACTGCATCTGTCCCAGAATGGGGAATTGAACATGGCATTAGGTGAGACTAAGGTGCTAATTTCAATTTGTTTGAATTCAGTTGAAACCTCCATGATATCTTGTAGTCTCTAGACCTGGGGTTTTACCGTGGTCACACCTCCTTTTGATAAACGCTTCATTAGAGGAATGAATTAACACGTTATTGCTGGGTGGTGTAGGCGACCCACAGAGAACTGCATTTTCCTGGCTTTTTCAAAAATTAGATACTGAATGTCTCAGACAACAGCAGCTGTGGTATAGGGTGCCTACATTAATGGGCACAGTGGTAAAATGGACTTCCAGTTACTCTAATTGCTGAAGAAGAACCCAAAGTTCTTTGCACTTTTTAGGCCATTTCTAGAACAACAAACCAGACAGGTTTCTAAGAGAAAACTTTTGGACTGTTTCTCTCCTGATAGTTCACCTACTGTCAAGTTCAGTATCCTAGGAGCTATTCTGAGCAAACAGGACTCCCAGTTTCACCCTAACATCCCTGAGGAATATTGGTATTGTTCTCCTTGCACTTATCAGCACTTGGAACTAGTTTTGTATCAGCAACAGTCTGTATCCTGAGGTTTCCATTATCCTCTTACAGACAGAGATTCCCACTGTTAATATTTCTTTCTCCTTTACTTGCTAACTCAATATTGTTATCTCTCTCTCTTTTATTCTCCAGCTTGAGCTTTCTGCACCATACTTGAGTTCAACTGCATGTGTTCCTCATGCGGTTGTCTCTCAGACTGATAGTACAACCTTTTCTCTTGCTTCCTGGGTGTCCGTTTTTTGCTTTATTAATCAAGTCTGGCATCCTTTCACTTATCTCTCTCCCTTCCTAGAATTTCATATATTTAATAAATTATTCAAACTTAGCATCACCACACCCTGCAGCAATCATACTGCTGTCCACAGCTGGTAGCTTTATTTGCTTTGAAATAAAAGCTTCTCCAGATACAGCCACAAAATATGTTTTGGTGAGTCATACTGAGAGTTTCTACTGTTAAGCCACTGGCTTTGCATATAAGAAACCTTAGGTTCATCATGCCAGAGAGGTTCTGAGCGAACATCAGAGGAAATCATAAGGTATTTCATATACGTGGAGATGGAGCTACCTCGGTTTAAATCATCAGAGTTTCCATCTACAGATGCACTTTCCTTTTTGACTGTCACACATGCTTATTAGCGTAATGACATTTCTCTGTATTCCTTTCATTTAGGTGTACTTTCTTTGGTGTCATGCAAAGGATATTATCCAGTCTTTCAAAACACTTGAAAGGTAAAGTGGATCTGATCCTCATCTGGAATGCTAATAGGTGTAGGTCTGCACAGTGCTTTAACACCTACAGTTTTACTGTATGAGGGACATTGAAAACTTACAGAGTTTGATTCTTCTCTTAATTGTGTTAATGTAAATAAAAAGTAACTCTGTTTTCCCAAGTGAGAATATAATTGTTAGTCAGAATTATTTTTTTCTTATTTAAACTGTGCTTATAATATACAACAGTTAAGTATATTTTTTTCATGAGAGAGGGAAACGGGCAATGTATGATACCACAGTGTCACTTGCTTTTTTTGAAGGAAGGAAGCGCCATGTATGTGTCTTAGGACGATGCACTATATTATGTTTTCTTTATTTAGCTACTGAAAGGGAATTTGCATCAGCAGCCTGAAGTCAGTGCAGTATATCTGAGGTATTTTATACTGATTTTTATAGAAAGCAGCTTCTGGAACTAGATGCAGATGTGCAAATTCACTGGGAAATACAACCTCTCTAGTGGTATCCCATATACCCAAATCAGTAAGGGCTGTGCATGTTTCTGACAGCAGAACTTGGTTCTCACAGTGTAACTGATGTGTCCTCTGAACAGCTGAATACATACATTTCTTATAGAACTGAGGACTAGTCTTTGAGGCAGCAGGGCCAGTTCCGATGTATTTTTGGTTTTGTGAGAAGGTGGATTAATGTAGATTATCTGTACATAGAACATAAATAAACAAACATGGTAATTTTTAAAATACTCCTCTCAAATTATCAATGAGCTGACCAGTTTCTATAGGAAGTAAAAGAAATTTACTCAGAAACGTCATTTATGGAGAAGGTTCTCCTTTGTTTTTCTCTCTTGGGTAAGTGTTCAAGCCCCATACCAATGAGGAGAGAGATCGCAGAAGGCTTGCAATGTCAGCTGGCGAAATCAGCTCTGTTTATAAGTGTCATTTTAAAAATCCCTAACTGCAAGTCTATCAGTGAGAACAGTGCAGTAATAAAGAACTGTTTCTTGGTGAAGGAACATCACCTGCCTCAGGTGCAGGAGAAAAACACCTGGCTTATCAGAAACCAGGAGTCTCAAAACCACTTGGAGACCTACCCTCACTGTACCAGTAGTCTGAATGGAATAAAGTCCTCTGTTGGCTTCAAGTCTCTCCAGGAGACAAAAATGCATGGACTAGAAGTTAGAGAAGGAGGAGGTATCTGTGAAGAAAGACCAGCCACAGTGAGTACGAAGGAGCATTGCAGAAGGCTGTGAAATATGGCGTGCAAAACAATTAACCCTGTTCAGACTGTTCAGTCACTGTCATTAACATGAAGCTTGTCCAGCCCAAAGAGTAACAATCATCACATAAGAGAGCATAACAAACAACAGCATGGTATTAATGGTTTAATACATTAAGCCATTGTGTTTCTGTAAAATTTTGGAAGCCTAACATTCATAGAATCATAGAATACCAGGTTGGAAGGGACCTCAAGGATCATCTGGTCCAACCTTTCTAGGCAAGAGCACAGTCTACACGAGATGGCCCAGCACCCTGTCCAGCTGAGTCCTAAACGTGTCCAGTGTGGCAGAGTAAACCCCTTCCCTGAGGAGATTATTGCAATGATTGACTGTTCTCATTGTGAAAAACTTACCTCTCATGTCCCATCGGAATCTCCCTGGGAGTAACTTGTACCCATTACCCCTTGTCCTCACCACGTGACTCCTTGTAAAAAGGGAGTCTCCATCTTCTTTGTAGCTCCCCTTTAAGTACTGGTACATGGTGATGAGATCATCTCAGCCTATTCTCATACGGCAGGCTTCCCAGACCCTTGATCATCTTGGTGGCCCTTCTCTGGTCCCCCTCCAGCCTGTCCACATCTTTTTTGTATAACGGGGACCAGAACTGTACACAGTATTCCAGGTGTGGCCTGACAAGTGCCGAGTAGAGTGGGATAATGACTTCTTTATCTCTGCTGGTGATGCCCTTTTTGATGCAACCCAGCATCCTATTGGCCTCCTTGGGCGCAGCAGCACACTGTTCACTCATGTTGAGCTTCCTGTCCACCAGGACCCCCAGGTCCCTTTCCACAGAGCTGCTCTCTAGCCAGGTGGATCCCAGTCTGAGCTGCACTCCTGGATTATGTTTTCCCAGGTGCAAGACCTTACACTTTGTTAAACTTCATAAGGTTCATGTTAGCCCACTCTTTGAGCCTATCCAGATCTTCCTGCAGGGTGGCTCTCCCTTCCAGAGTGTCTACTTCCCCAGTCAATTTGGTGTCATCTGCAAACTTCATCAGCCTACACTTGATCCCATTATCCAGAGCACTTACGAAGATATTGAATAGTGTTGGGCCCAATGTCGATCCCCGGGGGGACCCCACTTGTGACGGGTTGCCGGTTTGAAACCCATTCATTGTGCTCCACTGAGGAACATCTTTAGAGAGATCAGTTATGATTTTATTTTCCCTGCACTGACAACTAAGTAGTGCCACATAGCATGTTTACAGAAAATTAATGCATTTTATTTAACATATATGGAGGTATATGCTGTGCAAATTCCTTCAATAATTACTTTATTTTGTAGGTTTGGGGTTATCCATTCTGTGTTCACAAATTTACTCCTGTGGACAAATGGAGTGCTAACAGAGTCAAAACATCAACTGAATGAACATAAGGAAAGACTAATCACACTTGGTTTTGGGAACATAACAATAGGTAAGTGGAAGGGTTGCTACATTTTGGAATTCCTGCTCTAACAGGCTCTCGTACAAAATACTGCGTCACTGTAGGATAGAGCTGGGTCATTCATGGCTATGTCAGCATAGTCATTCCCATGCAAATGGTAGTGAGCTGATAGGTGATCAGGTCGCAACTAAAATGTTACATGATCATTATCATTATCATACATGTGATTCAGGCCATAGTTTTTTGTTTACTCACCTTCCCTTTGGATGAGGTCCAGAAGAAAAACAAATGCTGGAAGTTCCAAACAAGCAAACAAACAAACAGATTTTAAAAAACATTTTATTTGAGGAGTAACATCACTGAGGAACCCCTTTATTAGTAAATCATAGAAGTGAATTGCACATAGCAGTGTTAAAACCAGAGTTTACTATTTTGTAAGTTATTCATAGCAAAACAAGTGTGGATAATCCTGCAGATCCTTCCCAGGAGAGTGGTTATACATGGCGTGTGATCCTATGGGATTAAGTGGAGTGGCTCAGAGGGATAGGGGTTGTCCATTAGTGCTGCTTTACAAGACGACGATTTTGCTTTGAGTGGTTCTTTATTTATAATGAACCATTTTCTCCACTGGTAAGCTGATGCAAGTTATAGTCAACAAACATTGAATATAACTGCTGGGGATGCCTTCTGCTTTCAAATGCCACTGAAGCATAGGGAAATTAGGAGTGCTTAACTTTAAAGAGAAAATAAAAGTTCTCAGCAGTTATAAGTAATTTTCTTCCCATGAAAATTTATCAGTACAGCTGACAAATTTTGATTGTGTTCAAAACGGAAAAGACAGACAGCTTTTGAAGAGGAAAATGTATGTTTTCCCACACAGTGAATTCAATAGTGCCCGTATCCTAAAAACTCCTGATTTTGCCTCTACAAAGCCAAAGCCTGAACTAATTTCTTTTTTGTCTATTTATAGTCTGTATAAATTGAAAGAAATTTAGGCATTTTTAATAACTCCTGCCAAAGTTCACATATAAGTGAAAACTTAATTTTAAAATCTGTAAAATAGTATTTTCAGTGTAACTGTGTCTAAAACTATGCCCACAATTTTACATCTATTTGTGAGTGTTACTCTTTAGATGTATCATAGAAGCATAGAATGCTTTGGGATGGAAGGGACCTTTAACGGTCATCTAGTCCAACCCCCTTGCAATGGGCAGGGACATTGAAAAATTTTTTCCTTGTGTTCAGTCTAAATCTACCCTCCTTTAGTTTAAAACCATTACCCCTTGTCCTGTCGCAGCAGGCCTTGCTAAAAAGACTATCCTCATCTTTCTTGTAGGCCCCCTTTAAGTATCGAAAGGCCGCAGTAAGGTCTCCCCGCAGCCTTCTCTTCTCCAGGCTGAACAACCCCAGCTCTTTCAGCCTTTCCTCATAGCAGAGGTGTTTCATCCCTCTGATCATTTTTGTGGCCCTCCTCTGGACCCGCTCCAACAGGTCCATGTCCTTCCTGTGCTGAGGACCCCAGAGCTGGACACAGTACTGCAGGTGGGGTCTCACCAGAGCAGAGTAGAGGGGCAGAATCACCTTCCTCGACCTGCTGGCCACGCTTCTTTTGATGCAGCCCAGAATACAGTTGGCTTTCTGGGCTGTGAGAGCACATTGCTGGCTCATGTCCGGCTTTTCATCTACCAGTACCCCCATGTCCTTCTCCTCAGGGCTGCTCTCAATCCCTTCATCCCCCAGCCTTTACTGACACTGGGAAACTATCTACTTTCCATTAATAATCAGGTAGCTGAATTGATAGTTCAGAGATTTTGTAATCGTGGAGCATTAGTTGAGAGCAGGCAAATGACAAGTTAGTGGCTCTTCTTGATATTTCTACTTGTTAAACAGAAGCAGTTTCCTTATGTTATTTCCTATTATTCTGCTGCCAGAATTGTTACACAATTATGAAGAGTCAGAAATAGCATCTGAAACAAGGGGGAGTGAAGTAGTGATCCGCAAGACAAGTTTGGCATTAACATACAATCCACTGCAAAAGCAATTTTTTTTTTTTTATCTCTTCATGGTGTGTGCTTGAGACAAAACAATACCAACTTTCTCCTTGCCTCTTCTCTTCGAAAATTATAGAAAACAAAAGAAAAACTTCCAGCCACAAGTCTAAGATCAGTGCCTAAAAATGTGCTCTTCAGCATGTATGTTTATATATTTATAAATAAACACATTGCGAAAATAAGTATCTTTTTTTCTGCCACTGTGGAAATTTCTGATTTCTGAGATTATTTGCTTAGGTTATAAAAGCACATTAAATACATTTATTTTACAAATACGAGCAATTGTTGCCTTAGGGGTTTACAATGCAGGTAACTGCACTGGAGAGACAGAATGATTTCATAGGTTCCTCTCAAAAGGAGATTGATTTTTTTTTTTTTAACCTTAAAACTATACTGGGACATTGAGTGAAAGTATCTGTGGTTTACTTCACCTCTTTCCTAGACATAAGCAACTTTTTAATAAAGTGGTTTTGGTATCAGAAACCACACTAGTGTAAATAACTTACAAAAATGAGAGTAGGACTGAGCCCTCCCCTTGTTAAGCTTGTTCTTGATCTGATCCACAGATCCTCGAGCTTGTATAAAAGCCTTCTAAGCTGAAGGCCTGAGGACTCAAAGCCCTTGGCATCTGGATTTTCATGTTATAAAAAAGTATTTTTACCAAGACCCTGCTGAAGTTTGGTGCACTTTGGTGCAGCATTCGTTCATGATGTGATTATTGCTCAGCGGCTGAGCAGTGAAGTCAGAGATCATACTTCAGGACATGTGCAAAAGCTTTGCTAGGTTAATGACTTCAATGATGAGACTTTTTCTTAGGTGGCTAACTGGGCAGCATGATGTGTTGTTTGACTGAAATCTTACCTTTTGTGTTTTATTATTTTATTTATGTTTTAATTATTCACTTTAAATGAGAAATCCTTATCATGCACATAACTAATGTCTCCCTCTCCTTTAGTTTTAGATGATCATGCACCTCAATGCAATTGCACAACAACAACTCTCTGTTCAGTATTTTCTCAAGGAATATATTATCTATACCCCTTTAATATAGAGTACCACATCCTAGCATCCACGATGCTCTATGTCCTGTGGAAGAACATTGGCCGCAAAGTTGAGCACCACCAGCAACACAAAACTCCATTCAAATTCCACGGCATAACTGTTGGAATGATTTTTGGACTAATCGTGTTAACCAGCACAATAGCCATAGTTGTTGTGTATTTAATTCAGATTGGACGTTCGAAAATCAAAAGTGAGTTAGCACTTACTATGTTTTACTTGCATGCCATCTTTGTGTTGGCTCTCATGTGTACAGCTGGAATTGTTGCCCTTCTGATCTACAGACTGGAAGATAGATCGTTGGATAATTCAAAAAATCCTGCTCGAAAACTTGATGCAGAACTGCTGGTGGGCACAGCTGCAGGGTCCTGGCTCCTCTCCTGGGGCTCGATCCTCGCCATTATCTGTGCCCAGGCTCATCCAAAATACACATGGTATAACCTGCCCTACTCTGTCCTGGTTATTATTGAGAAATACATTCAGAACCTCTTTATCATTGAATCCATACATCGTGAGCAGGAAAAGGTGAACGATGATATTAAAACTCTTCGAATAGTGACTATATCTCGGGGGAGCACTTTATCACTTACCCCATCATACAAAGAGATTTACAATGGCAGAGCTACTCGTGACAGTGGAGAGGTACCCTGCCTGTTCAAGGCCAGTATCTGTGGGAGAGAAAATGGTGGTAATGCCAAAGAAGAAACGAGTCAGGAAAGTAGTTCGGTCATGCGTTCAGCCTCAGATTTCTCATTTTACAGTAGCAACTCAGTTACTAACAACAAGAGGAGAGTTCTGAAGAACATCGCTGCATTTTTATTCCTATGCAATCTTTCGGTAAGACATTTTGAACATAATTCACAAGTTAATACCCAAAAGCTTCCCAACCTTTCAAGCCTGATAAGTATATTAAAATTACATGGTTCTATAGTTTGTAGCAAGTGAATTTTACTTCTTCTGGAAGGATAAGTGAATATGCCTTTAGGGAACAAAGTTTAAATAAACATGGAATCTGGGAGCCTAGGCTCGTTTTAGTCACAGTACAAAAACTGTAGCAGCAGCAGAAGCTGAAATCCTCTTCCACCAGTGTGCCCCAGTAGCAACAGGGAGATTTTTCAGAGGGATTTCTGAAACCAAATTGCAGTTTGGTGGGGTCACAGTCATTAAGGGTAGTCACTTGTATCGCTGGTGATTAATACTGGCCTTGCGTTCTTTCCTTGCAGCTTTGGATACCACCGGCGTTCGGGTGCCGCCCAGAATATGACAATGGACTAGAAGAAATAGTTTTTGGCTTTGAACCCTGGATAATTGTTGTGAACCTTGCAATGCCTTTTTCTATTTTCTATCGCATGCATTCAGCTGCCTCACTCTTTGAGGTCAATTGTAAAACATAGATCATATACGGTCCCTCAGTGAACAATTGATTGAATAATTAATTAAAGAAATAATAGTTGAATGAGTGGATGGATGGATGAATGAGTGAACATAGCAACAGCTGCTCAATAAATAGAAGATTCAACCATTTTTTTTAAAAGGAGGGACCATAGCTAATAGCATGTAATTTTTTTTAATTTTTCTTCCACATATTTTGTTATATATGTGGTGTTATTGTATAGGTACACTTTTCAGAATCATATTACTGTTAATATGATTAACACTACATCGTAAAGTTAATTTGATCTCATTAATCTTTCTTCTAGTCATCTGGGTTTTGTCCTCTATATAATTTGTATTGCTTTGTTTTCATTCATTGTGGCTTGTGAAAGGGGTTTAAAAAAAAAAGTCTGTATGGCTTAGGAGGGAAAATCCCAGGAACAGCTAAACTGAGTGATGCTCCTGAATCACAGACATACTATGAAAACTCCAACTCTTAATTCCTAGCTATGCTTTTATCATATCAGGGTTTACTAAACCTGAAAACATTTGCTATTTAGTTGGGATGTGGGAATTATTTTAAACTTCCTGAATACTGATAAAAAATCAATATATAATTATTATTTTCTTAACTATATAGCAAGAAATCCAGGTAAATAACATGTATGGTTAGATATCATTCTGTATATAATTTCTTCTGATAAAATATATTTCTATTAATGCATCCCCCTTGTCTTCTATTTACTATATGATATAACTGAGAAATAAAGTTAATCCTTTTACTTAATTCTTTATTCACACATCTTTGAAATATTTTAAGAGAGAAAACTAGTCTTATAGCTTATGTTTAGGTATATATGTTCTGCTGCCAGAACGGTTTATATTCCCTGTTAATTTCTTTGTAGTTCAGTCTCGTGGTTGGAAGATAATCATATGTCTTCATACAGGGATGCTGTAACGTATAGCTGATGCCTCTAGAAATCTGAAGGGCCCTTGGCTGAGGATTTTACAAGTGTGGTTTACAAGCTGTAAATCTCAAATCCCTGGGATATTTAGTCGCCTGAAATCTCACAGAAAGCAGTGAAAAGTTGGGTGCCTGAATATTCTTAGAATCTAGACCTGTAAAATCAGAAGACTGGAGAAATGACCAGAGTACTAAAAGGGAGCAACAGATCAATTTTTGGATAATGCTTGCTAACTCACTAATGATCTAGTCCTAAATCTGGTGGGTCAGGGGCTGCAAAATTTCTGCCGCTAGTTCCTCAAAGACCAGTTATACTTTTAACCGGTTGCCACTGCCACCTGCCTAGAAGCAGTCATATTTCTGCATGGGAGAGGCCTGCTTCTGAGACAGAAGATTTCAGCAGCCTTGTCTGCTCTCACGCATCAGAACAAAAATTTTGGCTTTGCACCACTAGATGGCAAACACAGACCACTTGATAAATTACCTGATTCCTTCCAGGAGCTGCTTCACCTCATAATTAATCTTCAGTTCTATTTTGCGTCACACACAGCCATTACCTGCTTTACCTGTTGCAAAACCCAGATCAGGTAAAGCACTTTTCATCTGAAGTCTCAGGTGAAGTCTGGATTAGATGAACCATCAGCGAGGCTGAGCAAAGCAATACCAGTTGTTTGATTTTGACTACCTGATCACATTGCTGTAATCTCTGCCTTTCTCTAGGGCTGCTTGTCACATCTCTATTAGTTCTTACATTCATTCTGCAGAGCAGCCTTTTCTGTCTTTCCGCTTGAACATAGTAGCTTGATCTCACCTACTTCCAAGTAAATACCAGCTCTAACCACATCCCTTGGTTGTCTCTCAGACTGTTTTCATTTTAAGTGGAGTCAATAGGGCCATCCAGCTCATGAAATAAAGCTTTAATCTTCCTTCCAAATCAACTGTTGCACCAACTCTCCAGCTAATTCTGGTATCAGAAAAAAAAAAAAAAATCACTCAGTAAGCCCACAAATTCCACTTCATCTTCTAAGGGCTTATAAAGATGGCTAGAGGAAGCCTGTTTCTTCTTCCTCCCCTTCTGTGGGATGGGTCCCATCTCATTCTTCAGCTAGAACTGGTGCTCTTTAGCTGATGCCCAGCATTTGTGTTCAACCAAAGCAGAGCTAGCTAATCCCTAGGCCCAAGGAGGGCCCATATGCTCTATTACAAATACTTAGCACACATTTGGAGGTTTCAAAAATAAATAACATCCTTATTTATTTGTATTTCATCTGCAGTTACTTAGCCCTTTCTGTTTCTTAACATTAGTATTGAAATAATTTCATTTGTCCACAATATTAAATTGATTTTGAGTGCTGAAACTGAAGTTCATTCAGAAAAGTGAATTAAGGCAGCACTCTGGTAGTGAGCAAATGCTTTAAACATGCTAATGGGCAAATTCTATTCTGAGCTGCACTGATGAAACCCTGCTGACTTAAATGATTCTGTTTCAGGGAATCAGAGACTAGATTTTGGTCTGAGAAGCTTAAGAGGTTTTCATGACAGGACTTCTCTCAGAAAATATTGTTTCATCCAAATGCAGAATATTTTATGGAAGCAGGTCTTAGTTTAACTGCTCTTGAAGCAATGGTGAATCATGAAGTTCTGAACGTTTTAGAAATACAGATTTTTAAGAAACATAGATTTTTGGACTGGGAACAATAATCAGATTGTTTAGTGTGACCTCTAGCTCTCTGATCAATGCTAAAGCTGGGCTTTCTCAAACATCTACTTTCAAACTTCTCTTTCTTGTTGTTTGTTTGTTTTTTTTTTTTTTCCCTAGCATATATTGACAATACTAATTTATCGCAGTTTTTAAAATATAAGAAATAGCACGAAGTGACCCTATTTCTGCCTTCCTATCTGCTCAAGCATGTGACAGGAGGCAGAAGAGCTGGCTTACCCAGGAGAGAGCTCTGGCAGCTGCTGATTGCTATGTTCCTGAGGTGCCTCTAGGGGACAGTTTGTCTACTTTGAGATCTCTAGGGAAAGTCTTTGAGACCAATTTAATATTATTTTAAAAGAGATTTTTTTTTAAAAGGGAATTTCTTTAGTCAACTCCAAAATGCACTTGATATGTAAAGGATTCTAAATTTTTGCTGTATAATCTTAATCAGAAAGCTATTCTCTGATGTTCATCATATCCTTCTCTTAGACTCTTCCACTCCCTCCTTTCCTCCCCGAATAATTTTATTTATTCAATAATATATGCCTGGGTAGCATTTAAACTCATGTATGTATGGGAACAAGGGCTGCTAAGGTGCAAAAAGATTCCTACAATCCTCAAGCATTTGCCTGAAGAGTCAAATTTGCATGACCATAGATTTTTCCAAGTGTTTTTTAATGTCAGTGACACTAACATGGAAGAAGGTGGAGGAGTCATGGTCGAGTTTTCCTAAAAGAACTGAATTCCTCTTACTAGTATTTCTCAATACTTTGAATTTCCTCTTTTAATCAGTTAAAAAAAATTCCAATCACCATTTTGATACTTTTGGAAATATTTCTGTGTTGTATGGCCCACTTGTGGTTCATAGACTTCGAGTGGACTATATCAGTGCAGAGAAGTAGATGGCTCCAGAGAACACCAGGAAAGGGCAATTATCTGAGTTGTTCAAGTACATGCTTCTTTCCACTGACTAGGGAATTTAAGGTCCTTATGAGGATGATTAGTTCATTTAAAAAAAAAAAAAAAGCTGACTGTCTCTTCTATTGAGCAGCATGTAATAAATCCTTCAAGATCTAAACTGCTCTTTCCTAAGTAGGGGCACATAGTGTATCCTGCTTGTGTTATTCTGCCTTTTCCTGCAAAAGCTCTGAACAAAGCAGGATTTGGTTAAAAAGAAAATAAGAGACATAGTAGTTTTGTTAAGTTGTATGGTTTATTATTTGCTGGAGTTATTTCTAGCTGAAAATGAAGGGCAGTTTTCAATCATCATAATAATGTGACCAGGGTAATTTACTTGCAAACTTGATGACAATGTTTTGTGTAGCCAATATGAATTTTAATTAAATTTATTACTTAATAAGATTAAGAAATGCTTAGAAATCACATTTGCAAGAATAAAGAGGAAAAGGCTTTTTAAAAGGGTACTTTGTCAGAGCCTTCTCTAAGGTGAGGTTTCTGGACACTACTAGACTGTGGATTTATAGGTGATGCTTTCATTTTAACAGTTAACACCACTTCTTTACTTGTATCTGACTAGGCCAGTGATGGCCCTGTTGAATGTTGTGGTTTAACGCCAGCTGGCAGCTGAGCACCACACAGCTGCTTGCTCACTCCCCCACCACCCCCGGTGAGATCGGGAGGAGAATTGGAAGAGTAACAGTGAGAAAACGCATGGGTTGAGATAAGAACAGTCTAATAATTGAAATAAAATAAAATAGTAATAGTAATAGTAATAGTAATAGTAATAGTAATAGTAATAGTGATAGTGATAGTGATAGTGATAGTGATAGTGATAGCAAATATACAAAGCAAGTGATGTACGATGCAATTGCTCACCACCCGCCGACCGATGCCCAGCCAGTCCCCGAGCAGGGGCCCCCCCGGCCAGGTTTCCCCCAGTTTATATACTGAGCATGACTCCATATGGTATGAAACAGCCCTTTGGGCAGTTTGGGTCAGCTGTCCTGGCTGTGCCCCCTCCCAGCTGCTTCTGCATCTCCAGCTTTCTCAGTTGGTAAAGCATGAGAAGCTGAAAAGTCCTTGATTCAGTGTAAGCACTACTTAGCAACAACTAAAACATCAGTGTGTTATCAACATTATTCTCATCCTAAATCCAAAACACAGCACTATGCCAGCTACTAGGAAGAAAATTAACTCTATTCCAGATGAAATCAGGACATGAAGTTTTAGCAAGGCAGGTCGGAAAGCAGCCTGGCAAAACCAATGAATGCTACTTAAATGTTATTTATTCTATATGTGACCTGACAGTACGTAAAACACAGGTTAAATGGAGATATGAGTATCTGTGTGTAGTGATGTAAAAATACCCTTAAATGAGTCATT